TTTTTTGAATTTCAGTGGCGACACGGCAACGTGCTTGTACAACGCGCCCCACGAGGACGAGGGGCTTCCTAGAGTTCTGCCTGGGAAATTGCTATCGTTGGATGCACAGTGTCGGAAGGATCGCGGAACAAGCGCGTGCTTCGTAAGTTTCGCTCGATAATTTCGAGCTCTTTTTTTCCGTAAATTCCCAAATGTTATGTATAGATGAAAATACTCGCGTGAAATTTTAGAAAGACGACAGAGTATGCGCCCAGCTGTTTTGCTTCGACGCTGGTTCAGGATATTGCGTGGCCTATCGTCCGGCAGCGGAAGGCTCCCCGTGTGGAGATGGACAGGTAAGTGGTTATAAATAAAAGAAGAAAGCGGTGGCTATAGTTGGATCAAGTTCAAGTGACCGTTCGAAGCCTGTTCGCTGAATCGAGCCAGGGATCACTTTTACTTTCACGCCCGTGCATGTTTTATCTCTTTGTTCGTGGAACGGAGATACAAACGGAGCGGCCTTGAGTGACCAGTTGACTTTTATCCGACTGTAGAATCGCGCTCGAAAGTAACAGTGGACCATAATCGTATTAAAAATTGCAGTACTGCCTGAATGGAAAGTGCGTAGCCGAGCACGAGAACATTATACCAGATTACACGCAAAACATACCGACTTACGTGCGCCGAGACGGCACTTACAACCCCACAGCCCACAATCGGCCTCTATTCGCCCAATACAACAACACAGATTACAGGTAAGCGAATATCTTCTATCGCCTTACCTTATCCCGCGAAGCTTTCGAACGGCAAATTTATTTAGAATCAATTACATCTAGAATTTCATATTTTATCCAGGCGTAAAAATAGCAAAATGCCGAAAATCAAAGTTGCTTGTTCCGAGCGACTTCTCGCTAATATGAAACCCAAGAGAAGTCGAGTTTGGCGCCGTCCTGTTACAGTTTTCGTTTGATAACACGATGAATATACTATGTCACACAGGTATCCGTGGGAATCGACGACACACAGCACGCAACAAACGAAATTTAAGTACTACTCGCCGTCGTCGAGCCTCGCCTCGTCGACGAGCAGTCCTTATTACAAACGCGTCACACCCTTCACGACTCCAGCGACTAAATACACACAAACGACTGCCGGTCACTTATACGCCAATAAGTACAAGACTAAAGTTTACAATGACTACAATAGTAATAAGAACGGCTACGTTAGCACCACTACGAGGAGATACTCGAATCATTTGAGTTCGTATTACACCGTTAGTCCTGTCTCGAAAGTCACGAACGACGTGAGCTATCCGAAAATTAGCCCATTCAAACATAAAAGTACGGTGAGCATGATGAGGTTTCCGACGACAGCCAAGGGGGATCAGAATGGGCTTCGAAGCGATGGTCGCGGTAAGAGAAATCTGTATCAAAGCAACGATAATTCTTTTTCGTTAATAGAACCTTTCTTCTTTCACATTCGTTCCCCCGTAACGTTATCGACCCGATAACAACTTCTCGTTGCCTTCACTACTCTCTATCCAAAGCTTCATCTTCTAATACATCTATACTCTATTGTGAAATACGGCAGGTGTTCTTCTTCTTCTTCTTCTTCTCTCTTCCTCGATCATCATTAATTAATTAACACCGTGGCGGTAGCTGCGATGTGATTGTCGATATTGTGACAGACTGACACGTCGCTTTCTCATCGAGTCTCATCCAATTCACTTCAGGACAGTGAATATACGTATGTTTTTTCGAAAACGTATCTCATCAACTCTCGATATACTTTATAACGACTCCCGTTTGCTCTCATGGATCTGCCGTGGACGTTACTTGTTGTATATATCTAATTAAGTTCCCGAGTTCCCGAGGCGAATTCCACAGGTGCCAAAGTCCGGAAAGTTGCCTTCATACGGTGGACAATTGTAACATACTCTATTTACTCTTTTCGCGAGGGGTTATCCATTACTCTGATTCGTTTAATTAATTTGCTTTTGTTTTATTGCAGAACCAGAGGTCGATGAGTGCACGGACGTGGGGTCAGATTGCGCGGAGCTGATTGACAGGCTGAGAACATGGCTGTGCCATTTGCAATCTGTGAAAAATCGCTGCTGCGCGTCCTTGAAGACGATTTGCGCCGCTTGATCGATAGAGGAAGGATTAAATTGGTTAGGACGTCGCGTTGGCCAGTGCTGGCCGCAGAACCGACACGAATAAAAATACTATGGCGCGCACTCAGCACGCGTTCAGCTCGTCGAGCAGAGAAAAACTAATAGACCCGTCGGAAACGGGGGCTAAATCGTGTCCTTCGCCACGTGTCGGGTCGTATTTATCCGAGGAAAGACATCTCACGGAGTTCTGGATGCCGAGAAAGTGCAATTTCCCCTTCATTATGTAGTTACTGTATAACTGTGTTACCCTCCCCCCCAAGATATACCTTCATTCGCTCTTCTTTGTGTTTATATATTTTTTTTTGTTTTTTTTTTTTGTTTTCTTTTTTGTACGGTAGTACCGCAGGAGCTTTGTACGAAAGAGTGTACGTATTCGATCCAGGAGACGAACTGTTCGATCGATGATCAAAGTGATTCGGATTCGCATGTAATTTATTCGATGCACGAGATAGCGCGGGTGACATGTGTCGCGATAAGAGTATTATCACGCTAGACGCGCGCGATTCGCTCACCTGCGTGTGAGAAGAGCTTCCTTAAAATCATGAAAAATTGTAGCGCAAGACAATAAATGGTGATTATACAATGGACACGATGCTTGTTACTTTATTTTTTCTATCCCATTTTTAGTACCCTTAAGAATTCGATGCTGATTGTGTTCCTGAAGCAGCAGAGGTAGGTATTAATCTATATTTTATATAGGGAGGGCTGAAGTGAAGATTATATATTTGCAGGGGGTTAATAAACAATCGCATAAGGCGAGTATTAATAGTCTCGTGAGCGTAATGTAACCTAAAAATACTTGATAATTGTTTAATTTCAATTAAAAAACGTATTCAAAATGATCCTCGAACGTTGCTACTGGTCTGTACTTAATAATCAAACTTAAACCATTACAGATATCTTTAAACAATCACTCATATGATTGATTATAACTGGAGGTACAGGAACGCCTATTATAACAATGCACGCTAAGGTTCGATATTATCGATAATTTATTAACTTTCTAGGCATAATTCGTTAACTTTGGCAATTGTAGAAGGTAGCCAAGACCTCTAGCAACATTTAGGGACCATTGTTGATACGATTGCGTTGATAATTCATTGCAAAAAGTGCATCAAAGTAATTAGTTGTCTCAATGTAGATGAAATTGCATTGGCCAAAAACGTGTCAAGCGACGCTATAACCATCTCGCGGTGGAATGGTGGAACTATAATTATCGACATTACAGGAAGAAATTGACAAATACTTATACAATCTATTTTATTATGTTTATTAATAAACTGGTAGTCATAAAACAAACATTTAACATTAAAAATCATTAGTAGAAGTTAAAATAAGTAAATAATTACGAAGCCGGTAATTAGTCGACAGTGGCGCCATCGGTGGAAAAACGCCAAGGTTTGTCCCCGAATAGTTCTAGACTTCGACGGATAGATGGCGCCATTAGTTTTTTTATTTAAAAAAACAAATAATTTAAGGGTTAAAAAAATGGTTTTCATTCAAATTTTAATGTCACATTGCTGGCTCACTTATTTGTTAATAATAAAAAAAATATTTTTATAAACATACAAATGGCGCCATCTAGCGCTAAACAAAGGAACTATTCGAGGACAAACTAGAGCGTTTTCCCGAGAGAGGCGCTGACCAAACTTCGAAATTAGTTCCATTTCTAACCGCTAGTTGGCGCCACTTGCATGTAAAAATTTTTTTTTATTATTGTATGCAATAACAAATAATTGAGCCAGCAATGTGACATTAAAATTTGAATGAAAACCATTTTTTTAACCCTTAAATTATTTGTTTTTTTAAATAAAAAAAACCAATGGCGCCATCTATCCGTTGAAGTCTGGAACTATTCGGGGACAAACCTTGGCGTTTTTCCACCGATGGCGCCACTGTCGACTAATTACCGGCTTCGTAATTATTTACTTATTTTAACTTCTACTAATGATTTTTAATGTTAAATGTTTCTTTTATGACTACCAGTTTATTATTAAACATAATAAAATAGATTATATAAGTATTTGTCAATTTCTTCCTGTAATGTCGATAATTATAGTTCCACCATTCCACCGCGAGATGGTTATAGCGTCGCTTGACACGTTTTTGGCCTATGCAATTTCATCTACATTGAGACAACTAATTACTTTGATGCACTTTTTGCAATGAATTATCAACGCAATCGTATCAACAATGGTCCCTAAATGTTGCTAGAGGTCTTGGCTAGCTTCTACAATTGCGAAAGTTAACGAATTAGGCCTAGAATGTTAATAAATTATCGATAATATCGAACCTTAGCGTGCATTGGTATAATAGGCTTTCCCGTATTCTCGTCTGAAAATTGTTGATAATTGTTTAATAACAATCGGAATCTGAATAACAATGGTCCTTGAATGTTGATACAAGTCTAGGCTAGCTACTTCAAATGCACAAGTTCATAAATTATCCCTGGAAAGTTGACTAACTATCGAAAATATCGAACGCTAGTATGCGTTCGTAGTAAATGATTATACGTACTCTAAGATTCATTAATCATTTGTTAATAACAATCCTGAATCGTATCAACAATGATCCCTGAATGTTGCTAGAGCTGTTGACTTGGATTTGTAATTGCTAAATGCATAAGTTATCTTAGAAAAGTACTGAAGCAACATTCAATTGAGTTAATTAATTAATTGAATGCTGCACTTTGTTTAAGGATTTGTGTTTAAATAATGAAATAAAAGGAGTATCACCAACGTCTCTATGTTAAATATTATAAATACTTACCCTATGTTTATTTCTATTTGTATAATACTCACCCCCTTTATGTGTAATAAATAAAAAAAACAAAGTCGACTTTGTTTATATAGATCTATATAAGAAGCAGAACTTTTTATTCGATTTTGTAGCAGATGGAAGCATTGATCACCATAACAGGTGTACACCGGGTCATAAATCATGTCTAAGTCCATCAAAAATCGACGATAATTATATAATATATGAACAGGTGTTCTACTGCATAGATAATAATAAACAGATTTCGCACTATTTAAATTCCGACCCAACAACGGTTCAGCCTTACTCTTTCGATAATCCCTGCAGACTGTTTTTGTCTTTGTATTGGACTTATGTTGTACATAAACAAATAATTTGTTCTCAAGTAAAAACTAGAAGTGAACGCAGTTTGAATTGAAAGACACTAAATTCAAGTACGAGAATAATTTTAATTAATTTTTATACTATTTTACAGTGTCACGATTAAAGTACAGTTGCTACTGTGTTTGTTTGCGTCTCCTATCATAATGTATATCCTAATTTATCTGTGCTTGGCTGTGCTTCCATTCATGTGTCACACCATTCGGGTAACGTATATTCTAGAACATTTAACAATTATTTCTTCAAACAACCGAGACGTCTGTGTCCTTAATATTAATTATGCTTCGCAGCTACACGAATTGATGACTCCGGACGAGATCATGGGAATATTTCACACGGCGCCTGACGCTGGTAAATCAACAATTTCTGTAAAACAAAATTACCTATGAGTGAAATTTCTTTGATGTCCTTAAGTGTCTCGTTACAGTGCCCGATTACGAAGTGGTACCCGTTCAGCATTCGATAAAAGTCATAAACGAGAATGGCACAAAAATATTGCATCTGAAAGCTTTCGACCACGACATCAAACTCTCTTTAAGTAACACCGAGGGATACCTCGCTAGCGTGGATACACCTTTGTGGACAGTGAAGTCCGATCAACAAGCCCCAGAAGGAATCCAGTATACTTTGATACCGAACGTATGCTCCGAAACATATTTATTGATTTACAAATTAGAAAGTATGTGAGCTCTGGTTCGAGTAATTTATGTTTAAAAGTCTTTCGGAGCTGATAACATTCGTGGGCTGGTTTTAATCATTATTCATACATTGAAATCACCCACTTACTGCGCTTTATCATTTTAGCCACGTGTATTACGCAATCGCACAAGACACTGTAACATTTGGAAGGTCGTTTATTGTTCGTATCTTTATAATAAATGAGCCAGAAAATAATTTTGTTTAGGCCCTGAAAGATATCGGGACAACAATGCAAGACGAAGACGCAGGAGCATCGATCTTGGTCAAAATGCACAACGATACGCACCCTCTTTTCGTGAGTTCTATAATTAATTATTGGAATAATTATACGATGAATGCGCGTGTGGATCTTTTACGCGGTTCGATAATATTTTAGGACGGATCTCTTTCTTCGAACTTGGTCATACGCTCCCTACCAGAACGTGTCATCAGAGACGTTTTGTATAGAAAGAACGGATCGTTCAAACCATATTTCAATGAAAGCGACGTAAACGATTTAAAATACACATACCATCATATTATTTATAAAAAGATTCCGTCTGGGAACAGCGAAGCGTTTAGTAAGCACGTTTATTTTAATTTCAGTAGATGAAAGACCAAATTAGCTTCTAATTAAAAATAAAATGTTTCTTGTTCGTTTCTAGACGTAACAAATCCAATACCCAACAAGTATCCAGTTCCTGATGTAGTGTATCCAGAAGTCTTGGTAGTCATTGACGATAGTTTATATTCGTGAGTAATCGATTCAATTGCATAAAAATGACACGATTTTCGAGAGTGGCGTTCTTTCGTTTTAGAATGCTAGGTAGAAACATGGAGCAAGCTAAACGATATATCGTAGCGTTCTGGAACGGAGTGGATTTGAGATATCGCGCAATAACTGAACCAAAAATACGATTAAACATCGCAGGTATAATTGTAGGCATGGTAAGTGACCGTACACTGCAAGCACGCTGCTGTTATCTTCATTGCCTGTTCTTTTTTTTTTTTATTTTTATTTCCTTTTTATTTGTGCAGGACCCAGGAGCAATTCCATATGTACAACAGGGTCGTCTCGATTCAAATTTATTAGATGCTGATAAGGCTTTGAAGGGTATGGCAAGTTATTTCTACAAGGACAGAAGAGTTCCATGGAAAATTTACGACCTAGCACTGACCATGACGCAGTGAGTGATTGTTTCTCTGATTCTATTCAAACGTACAACATACCTTTGTTTCGCTGAAGGACTCGTTTTCTTTCAGTTTAAATTTGTGTAATAAACTGGACGCGCATTTGTGCGATACTTCGACGATAGGTGAGTATGTTTCCTGTACAAACATAAATAACTCGATATAAAATTTGATTTAATGTCACTGTCAATGTTAGCGCACATTGAAAGCAATAACGACGTGGATTGACATCGGCAGGATACTCTTATGTGGCTGGCGCATGCAACAGGAATAGCATAACAAACACATCAGAAGCTGCTGGCATAGTTGAAGACAATGGCGGTTTCAGTGGTATTATACCAGCAGCTCACGAGCTGGGGCATTTGTAAGTTTTGTTTGTTTGTTTTTTTTTTTTAAATCTTTTTAACACGTTCGATCGCCACGTCACCCATATGTGGGTGACAGTGCTTCTCGCTGAAGAACTAAAAGAATTAATTCTGAAAGTTAAGCTTCACGGGAAATGAATTTAATTGAAATTCGTGTATTTTGATGAAGTTAAGAAAAATAAATACCACGACGGATGTTTGATTACGTCGTTTCCAATAGTCTGAATAATATTTAATCCTAGCAGAAATTTTCACGAATATTTCACTGGCAGTCAACGTGTTAATTTAACTGACCTAACTTGTACCTATATCAACAAAATTCTTATTAATTCAGACTGGCATCTCATCACGACGGGGATCCGAGAGATCCTGGAAAGTGCTCGCCAAACGACGATTACATCATGTCAGCCACTTTAGTATTGAGCGAGAAAGAATTCAAATGGTCCAATTGTAGCTTAAATGCACTTCGCAAATTTATCAGGTGATCCCTTTTTTTTTTTTTTTAACCAATTCCTAAGATAAAATTTCCAATTGAAATTGGTTTCCTTTTTTTAAATATTCAGCGAAGATAGAGCAAAATGTGTTTACGACGAACCTCCGACAGCCACAGCGATAAGAACCATTTTACCTGGAAAATTGATGACCGTAGACGAGCAATGCGAAAAAGTATACGGCGGCGGCGCGTGTAACGTAAGTATTCGGAATTTACGTAAACAATCTTATGTTAATTTTGCGACGATTGTTCAGAAAAACTCGCCTTCCATCTGCTACGAACTGATCTGTGAAGCTCCCGGTACCAACGGCGTATGTGATGCAATTGCGGCAGCAGCAGAGGGTTCTTCTTGTGGAACTAATCTCGTAAGTCACGATTTATCAGAGAATCGTTCATTTTTAAAAATTTTATGTTGCAGTAAATCAATAAACGACAATTTCTCGGTTGATAGATATGCCTCGATGGACAATGCGTGTTGGAAGGAGCCGAGTCTAAGCAAGAAAGAAGTTATCTATCGGGGATGAAGTAAACTTAAGCCACGCTTAGATCACTGAGAATTCCTCGAAGTAACTCTGACGCAGTCCCTTGGTTCAAAATCCTAAACAATCAAGATACAAATCGAGTTTGTTAAGATTCCTCTCTTTGAACGGCAATAAATATAAATTTCGCATCACACTTATCAATCAAATTACACGATAATATAATCTTTGCGTTGCTAACATGATTGATCTTTTTGTCCGACGTGAGTTCCAAGAATCCACGCGTCTTCTAAGTGTTATACTATTTATAAAAAGCAAATGCACGCGTTTGAATCCCAAACTTTGAAATTTGTACTTATATCTACTGAAAGCTCATAACTAACTCAAAGTATTAGCAGTTAAACGAAACAGAAAAACTTTTAAAAGTCTCTTTTACGAGAAAGATTCGTTATCGACACATTTAGAATAAATCACCGAGAAGGTTTTCAGATCAGACTTTAACTTCATAAAAGTGCATCTGTATCCAATCCTATCGCAAATAGCAGTTCGAAATGGGTTAAACGTCATCCATAGATAAATAATACGTCATCGATACAATACATATACGAGAAACATATACGATCCTCTTATCGATCAACTTCTAGAGGACATCGTAATTATGTAATACAAGAGACGAGCGGCATTATTACGATAACTGATGTAATTGTCACACGTATCATTTTCAAGTAAGACGCGTTATGCGAACTTCTGTATTTACTTTGCTAACCAAGTCCTTCGTTCCAAAATTATTAGTCCAATTATCTTTCGCTAGACTCGTTGCACAGCCTCGTATCTCTCGGTAGTACTTGAGATTTGAACTTTCAATATGTTCTATGATAATGACGAAATCTCATTAAATCTTTAAATCAATGAAACGCCATTATTTTTATCTCTAAGTCACTACTGCAGTTTACAGCGCTGCTGTTTATCTTTCAATCGCGGTACATGGTACTCCTAGATTGCTAATCGGTTAAACTTACAATTAGTTATCGAGTAATATCTAGTGGTATCCAGATTTCTGTGAGCATAGCGATTAAAGAGGGAATAAAAGCTGTGAATAAGTGTACTAATTTTGTATATTTCATTACATGTATTCATTCGTTAATAATAATTAATTAACAATAATAATAGCTGACATATAATACAATGACAGTAATAATTAATAAGAAACTAATTATCTTTCCTTCCTGTGACAGCTGCCTCAATGCCCTAAAATTCCTAGCAGTCCTACAGAGTTCTTGTTTTGGGTGTATTCGAAACGAAAAATAAAATCGAGAAAGTAGAAACGTTTGTGCTTGTCGTTATACATAAGTTGGACACGTACGTCACCTTCAATGTTATTGATTACATTTTTCCTTCGTCTTTTTTAACTTTTTTTATCTTCATTTTTAACCACGAGATAAATTACAATAATCATTTAAATACTTCACATATATCTATATATATAAACTATTCAACATTTAAGCCTTTTCACAAAACTACTACTTTTTTTATCCTTCATATAAATCATGTAAGTAGTATTTGTGTTTTACAAATGTGTTATAAAACCGCATGAAATCATCACCATAAGCACGGACGTGAAATCGTTCATAAAAACACTCGCAAACACGTTTTTTTCTCTTGTAGCTAACTCTTCCACTAACTCATACTTATATGATTTATATTTAAAAAAAAAATGGCTTCAATGTCTATGTTAAACGTGCAAATTGTAAATACTCACGAAAGAGTTAGGTAAACACTTCTAAATATTATGAAAGCTTATATGGAATATGTAAGAAACTACATTCCTAGAGAGATATAATGAATGTTCCTATGCAAACATTTTCAGTGAATCATGCAGCAGAATAACATCTACGTTATTTTTAAGGTTATTTTTCAACAACATTCTGAACACATGATTTACTTGTGCATTATTATAATTTATGCGTATTTTATCTCTCGGTCACTTAGAAGCAACGCAAGTTTAATATACCTATATCATCTCAGAATGAAAATAATTTGCACGTTCTTAACCTTCAATTAAAGCGAAAAGTATATAAGTATTTCACTTTCTGAACAATGGCACTCAATGTTAATAATGCTCGAGTTCATATAAGCTTGGAATAAAAGCGGAAGATCAAAAATACACACAATCGTATGATTTTTCTTTCAAGCTAACAAAGATAAATACTAAGAAATATATAATCACAAAATTATTAACCTCAAAAGAATATCTAATTTGAGGTTATGTCATGATCATGTGTGATAAAATAAGAATATGACGTTTCGCAGAAATGCCGAGGACTTTTTCTTAGTACGTTTGCCGCGTATGCGATGTATTCAAATTAATTTAGAGGATCAACCTCAACATAATCGTAGATGAATGATGATGGAGTATTAGTATCAACCAAGATTTCAGCCGACGTCAATTCAATGTTTGGATTACGCCATGCATTGATATCAGTTCCCCCAATATCCAGACCAAGTCGTAAATTAGCTGGTGTATTGCCGATAACAAAATGTTCTTCGGTCAGAGGCAAAAGATCTTTTAAAAGCAGCCTGTAAAATATATTATATGTACGGGTAAAAGAATGTTTTTGCATTACTTCAACAAAGTAAATACCGCAGTTAAAATGCATCAAATAACTATTATGTTAAAATATCGTGTAAAGCTATAACTTACCAAATATTTTCGTCGGAAACGATGTGAACCTTCGGTACAGGGAATCCGTTAAATGGAGAAGCAACCGGTAACGTGTACGCTCCCATATTTTCGAAAATAACCCAATCGCCAAGATCCATTTCGTGTAACAAAACATTTTCCACCACTTGATCCAATCCATCACAAGTTGGTCCCCAAATACTTGAGGGAATCATCTTTCCATAACCTTTCTGTTAATGCCAAAATGTTTATTATTAGAAACGAATCATCATTCCATCGTTAACTCTAAAACGTTTATTACGAAAGCCGATGAGCAATTCGATACTTAGTAATTGAAATAAAAATAAACGAAGGCTACTGCTTACCTTTAGAGGTATAGGAGTGACATGCTGATGATCGTAAAGCAAACAATTGAAGGAGCCATAAACGCCATCATTGATGTAATACATATTGTGCGTAATTGTATTCGGTAAATTTTCGTTGCCACGCACCGAACGTTTGCTGTGAATGCTAGTTGCAAGTGTGAATGCAGATGCAACATAGAAACGACCGGGTTCGGCGATTATGTGAACGGCATCGGCTAAAAATTATTATTTTTTATTATTTTAACTGAACGAAAGTCAGTAATAGATTCTGACTAACCATAAACAATTGTTATGATTACTTACTGTCGAAGTATTCGTCAAGTGCTTTATTAACAACATCGGCAATTTTGTCAATGCTCGAGCCTTTATTTCCAGGATAGCCACCGCCGATATCCAACAGATACGGTTTGAAACCGAGATCCATTGCGAAGTCAAATAATGTTTTAGCATGACGTATAGCGCGATGAAACACTGGGGGATCCTGACAGCCAGATCCAACATGGAAACTGATGCCAACAACATTAAGCCCTAACATGCGTGAAAGGTGCAGAAGGTTGGGGGCTTCGTAAATAGGATCACAACCAAATTTCATGCCTAACTGACACTGAGCTACTTCTGCGTCGCAACGAATTCTAATAACAATCTGAAATAAAACAATTATGAGGATAAGTGTGAAATGTAAACGTTAGTTTACTTAGAAGTCACTTAGAAATGACCTTTATGTGTCCTTACTTTGGCATCTGGATGCAACTTCTTAATTTTATGTAACTCGCTCTCGTTATCCACTGTCATTGTATCTACACCAACGGCAGAAGCGTGGCGAATATGCGAGGCTGGTTTAGCTGGATTCGCGAAAATAATTCTAGATGGGTCTACTCCGACGCTTAATACTTTGTTAATTTCCGTCTATAAATAACATTGATAACCAATTTTAATTAGGTTTTCTATCTCAGGTATTCGTTACTTAACATCAATAACATAATATCAAATTACACTTACTTTTGATGCGCAATCAAAACCAATACCAAGAGCAGCTAATACCTCGATGACAACTAAGTTGTCATTACACTTTACAGCTGAAATTTAGAAACGGAATTAATTAATTTTTAATTCGCGATAGAATGTAATGTACAATATTTTTCGATTATTTTACCATAATATGGGTCTACGCGTGGCAATTTCTCCTTCCAAATTTGATGTTTATGGACAATGTCTCCGATATCAAGTACATAAAATGCTTCTTCTTGCAATCCACTGAATGCAATATCTTCGATGACGCTCATAACGTTTGACGCATTGTCCAAGACATGGATACGTTCGTCCTGATTCGTGACCTTCATGTTGATTATTTTGGGTTTCTAAAGGGTACTCTGTAGGCACTAGGCAGCAAACTAAAATAAAACATTATTAAATTACATAAAATTGAATGATACTCCATCAGTTTACACTGCTAAACATAACTACGTACGAGGCAGCTGTCAATGAGAATTGCGTTTGTCGTGAGGAGGCGGTTTAAGACAAGATCACTATGGGGGTGCTAGCAAAGCCACGGGGGCTCTGCGTTCAGGGCCAACTTCCAGTTGCCGCAGTTATTCACACACCCACCAATAGACTGGCCTACCAGTCTATCGCAGATAGAACCCTAAAATGAAAGAAATTTGTATTTAATGTCATTATTATTTATTGCATTGTCACTAAATATTTCTCAAGTAAAATGAATTGGACTAAAATATGTTTTAATAATTTCCTACAAGCAAACTACTTGTATTATTATAATTATGATTTTAATATCAACTGTCACAGACAACAATAAAATTTGTTAAACAAAAGACATGCGAAGCAATCAGAATACACAAAAGGATCACATCATAAAACATTCTGTCATTGTTGTATGTTCTTTGTTCAGAAGAATGTATGAGAACCAGAAAAACCGATGAATTTAAAACTGCTCAGTATTCAAGCATTAATTTTTGTATAGATCAATACATTTGGTGACACATGCCCAAATTTAATTTATCTTATCATATTTTATCAGAATTAATTACATATACTTTTTTGTCAGACATAAAAAGATATCAGCCAACAATTTATATGAAAAAAATATTGATGTAAATTCTATGAAAATCTTTATTAAAGGTGACTATAATAATTTCCAATTTACTAAACCAATCATAAAATAATTATACAATAAGTTACAAATTAATATAAAGCAGATCCTATGCTTGCATTTTTAAAGAAAGAGGTTTTGGAAACTTACCTGATTTTTAAAAGTAATTCTCGTAGCTTTTATAACACATATAAACCAATAAATCAGTTGTATTAAAATTTTGGGATGTTTGATTCTTTGTGAGACAACTATCTTTGCAATAATTTAATGGGAACAATAACACAATAAAAAGAAGTAGAAATTATTGAAATATTATACTGTTTTATAATGGTTAAACGTTGCTCAACGAAGGAGAGTTGTGAACTAGCAAGAATACAGGACAATACTGAACCTGAAGTAACTATTTGGGCCACTATTTATACGAGAAAGATAAGTACTATCAGGCTGTGCTTTGCGTGGTACCAAGTCTACTTCATGGAACAAAGCTTATCTGACGGCCAAGAAATACATGGTTCACAGAGAACCAATTAGACATGGAGGGGTAATGCACACGCCACTCAGAGATCAAGTCTTCATTGGGGGCATGGAAATACCACATTTAATCTATACTACGCGGTTGAAAATTCTTGATTACAATCGTTCATCAAAATCATTTGACTGACGTCTGATAACATCTGTGTAAGATAGTCACAGGTAAAATACAGGTGTGCATATAACATTACATACATCATTTCTAAATACAATGCTTGTTATCGATTATAGTGCTCTAAAAGTAAGCATTGTGAACCCAAAAGAATAATTACAAAATTTATGAAAGTATTGAACATATAAATATTTAATTGCATAAGAAAATAATAATTGCTTATACTAGAATATTTCATTTGAGGAGAAAAATACAATATTAATTTTAATATTCATATCGATTAATTTCATATATACACAAATACATATTTAACATATGTGAACCAATTGACTAAGTAGCCAAAGTAATGCTATAGGAATTATTATTGCTTCTGTTCTTGTTATTGAAAGGATAAAAATCATTAAAAACATGTACATGACATTCGCATTATCAGTGCTTAGGGGGGAAAAAATAGTTAGCTCTTACATTAAAATTTAAACAAAATCCACACGATCCATTCTGATTTTACTGGTTTGCACAGGAAATATCAGACGGAGTTAGGTACCAGCTACTTCAAGATAACACATCATCGAAATTACAAACTGCACCGCAAACATAATGTTGCCAGGATGGTACAATGTTTGCAAATAAGCTATACTATTATGGTAACATGTATTGTATCGAGCGTACAATTTGCACTCGAATCGATTAACGTCGTATAATACAGATAAGAAGCATTAATGAAATCGAGGAAACACCAGATAATGCAAAGATCAGAAAACTGAGTCGACGTTGGAATTGCATGTGATGAGGAAACTCGGTGCAGGAAAATAGTGAAAATCATGATTCATCGGACACGGATTGCGTTGTTATACAACATTTCACACCGAGAAGCCCACTTATGGTATAAGGAACTTGCAAAGTAAGCGATAACGAAAACCTTCACGTGACAGACGTGCCCTACCGACATGGCTAATGCCGTATGCTCGAAAAGGCACATCGAATATGCATTTCATTACGTACCTTATCAAATGATCGCCACCCTGCGGGTCGGCACTCGGTTATTGACGGAATGATGGAAGTTTTCGGTGACTGGATCTCAAAAATCAGTCAGATCGGTCGATGAAGGTTGAAGCTTCGTTCGTATGGCGACCAGTGCCTGTCGAAGTCTCTCGCAACCAGTTCTTCGTTAAAGGTGTCGAGAAAAAACATTCGTTTGCTCGTTCGTAACCACACAAAGAGTTACGAGCGAATTCAGACCCGCCCGATCGTTTAACTCGATAGTCGTGATTTGTTTCGTAAGAATTCGTAAAACCTGGTGAAACCCGTAGAACCTCCTCCCACGGACACACCACCGAGCAAGAGCTCCCGGAAAGGTTCTCGCAAGTAACCAGCACGGGGCGCGTTCGATTTTGTAACTCGAACTTCGAGCTTTTAATCGATTATCGCGTGCAGTCGATTATTAGAATTTAAACCAATAACTTTTACCATTTGCGGACTGAAATCAAAGAATGTCTTTAGATCGCTACTTTTCTGCTATTTCTTGGTAATTTTCGTAAAAATAGAGTTAGGTGAATAATCTTGCAGCGTTGTGAATGCTATATAAGCACAGAATGCTGCAATATAACAGTAAATCGATTCAGCACCATTAGGCTATTTTTACTTCGATGATGTATGCGCAAATGAATTTTGAGTGGCGTTGCAGGATGTAATCTAACGAAATAATATATTTATTATAAGCACCTTACACCCTGATTTACACGTTACTTTGTTTTTTGACCATTTCTTTTTATACAAAAAATATTTTTTTTATTCAATGTCATTTGAAGGTCAAAATACATGTAGCTCAATCTTTTTTTTTTTAATTACATCGCTACGTTAATGAAAGTATATTACCCCATGATACACTTTTCATTATCTAATCATTAGACTAGAAGTATCATCAGTTTAATCTATGAAATACATACATTACACTATCGAGTTATACAATTTTGAATAATCATGAAAACAGGTTCGTAACATAGATAAAAATAATGAAATAGAATTGATCGTGTCTTCGTGTGTCATCACGGGAAAACCAAATGAGTATTTAAAATAAGGAGTATTAAGAAGGAATTAATTTTGGTTATCACAATGCTTCAGTTTTGGAGGTTTCGGTAATTCCAGATAATTTCCGAATCTGACTGGCAAGTATTATCAATATTGAAACAATATCTGTAATATACTGAAACTTTTACAACGAATGTAAGATTAAAAATTATACCGACATTGACGATTAAAACTTTAAAAAAAATTTTTTTTTTAATTGTTATTCGAGTATTTTGTATCCCAAACAATTGAGATAATACTATCTTCTTCGTACTCCGTTGTTACATTTTTAATTGAACTTACGCGTATTTTCCGTAATACGTAAATACCAAGTCGAGTTCGCGATATGTATTATGAAATTCGTCACAATTTTTCTTAAAGTTCGAATAATAAAAAAAAAGGGTAGGTTTGTAAACATGTCTAACATAGGAGCATTGTAAAAACACATTGAGATTATAAATTTTTCAAGAGTTTATTTAGAGGAAATAAATATAAATAACTTGGCTAAAAAAACGGTTATTAATCTATCATTAGAAGATATCAAATTGGAATAGAAACGAGGTATAATTATGTACTATACTAATGCTATTATCAATTTTAACAATCATGAACATACTGATATGTATTTTCATAATATATATAATGGTAAAATAATTATAATTGTATTGTTTTAGGCTATTATTATTACAAAGCAATATTTAGAACACTAGTATTGCACGTATTTTCATAACTAATTTAAATAATATTGTAAATCATTAACAATACATTGTATCATTTACATCCAGTTGACACTTCACCTACAGAAATGCATAAGAAACACAGGTAGTGTTAAAATATTATGATTGATAAACTTATTGACTGTGAATGTTGAGTGATCCTTATTTATTGTGCCTTCATTGGTGGAACTGCAGTAAAATATTTGAAAATAGTTCTGACAATCATTGCAGCGCTAAAAGAAAATCAAACACATTGGAATAATTAGTAATTTTCATAATACTCAATTTATTTATATAATTGTACCTGATCAGGGTGATTACTCCAGCTGGCATTATTTTACCAGTGTTATAAAAGCGATAACCCATAATTCCCCCAAGAGTCGAGCTTGCTCCTAAGAGGACTCCGACATTGGTAGGATCTGCTGAAGTTTGATAAGCTCCGTAACCCAAAATTGTTCCAAAGAGAAGTCCGGCACCCAAAGAAGGGATCGAATCTTTAGAAAAATGATTCGTTGATATTGTTTCTTTGCGTAATGACGCGTTCTAATTATTACTCTTGAAAGTTGAGATATTTATGAATACACGAAATAGATGGTACAAATATTTAATTAGCTGCTATGACAGTGCAAATGTGGAAATGCTAAAGAAGAAACATGATATCTAACTAACAAAATTAGACAACATACGTGATTTCACATAACCAAGTATGCCACCGGCCGCAACTGTGGCAGCATACGAGTACGCAACTATATCAAAAGGCATTTTGTTTTATATGATTACAATTTCGTTGTTTCCCTGAAAAACTTGTACACTCAACCACACTCGACTATCAGAACTGCGAGTGATAAACAGAATGTATTTATTTTTTGCACATCATAATTGTAGACGTGGTGTATCCGTTTTATAGAGAGGTTTTTTTAAGCTTTGCGGTATTGCGATTATTGCGCAATCTATAGTAACCGCAATAATCCACCGGTAGTGGCGCGTAATGGATCCATGAGGTCCAATTCAAACTAAAGTCCGAAATTTCCATATAAAGAAAAGCCTATCGAAATAAAGAACATTTTCCAACCTAGAAAAAATATCGAATGACACGTCAATGAAAAACTGTGTTGTATAGATTTAATTCTTATCAAATTTATCAAGTATCCATTTTTATCAAATTTGACAAATCGTTTTGCAATAATTTTATTTTTTATTTGTATTGTATTAGGAGTAAAATTTGAAAGCTCTAATTATGATTTATGAAAACTAACAAGTTAATTACGCGTGAGTGGTCTGAGAGTTCGAACATAAATGAAGTAATACTATAAAAATAATACAGAAGTTAGGAAGGCACGTGCGCCTATAGGTTGCATAAATGTATGCTTTTTGTATTTTACGCGATACAATTATCTAGACGGAAAATTGCGTAGTCAGACAAATCCTCTATGATTGAACTCATCACGAGCAATTAATCACACACCTACGATATGTGATATCAGTATTCTTGTAAGATCTGTGGTTAGTCATCCGCTACACGTTCGCTAGTATCCTACAAATTTTGTTGTCTATTATGTTGTCACACGACATATTAATTAGAACTGGGAATATACTTTCCCTGAACGAGCCAAAAACAAAAGCAAGTCAAAATCCAACGGATGAGGTCGGTTTATAACGGTATTTTAAACATAAAATAAATCAAATTCTCGATGTTACATAGTTGCAACTATAATTCTTGAGGTTATGTAGCTTCTAGCAATGAAAAATTGTTCTATCATGATTCACATGATCTCTCTTTGCAGCTAATTGAAACACTGAAGATTGTGCTCAGAGAGAATGAAGGCAGTGGTGAGAACCCAATGATTGTACGTATAATTAATTTTTGTTTACTTTATAAATATTTAGAAAGTGTATTTCTAAGTTTCTAAAACCTTATTCATTTTTAGATTAAAGGAAAAGAAGATAATGCTTTGCAAGATATCAATAGAGAAGATGTCAAGATAACTGTGAAGGTATTTATGTCCTCACCCGATGTAGACTTATTGAAGGAAGCTATTGATCAAGGTAAAAAAGATATTTCATTAAGTTTGATATTAACATTATTAATTATATATTGTATTGTGTTGTCAGTCTGTAATTCTTTGAACACAAATGCAATCGAGTCTTTGGTTATTGCCTATGAAGGCAAAGAAAGTTCGGAAGAACTACTGACATCTTTGAAAAAATTATGGGCTGGAGTAGAAGAATATGTAAAAATTGGTAAATTGTCCAGTGTTGGCCTGAGTGATGTCAATACAAATGAATTTATTGATATATTTCAGTGGGCAAATGTAAGATTGCTATTGTTTTTGTGGTGTTTAATTATTATTTTTGTATGCATTATGCCAATTTCATAATTTGTTATCAATACAGGTGAAGCCTAATATTGTACAAATTAGCTTAGCTACTTGCTGTGTTGTACCACCAGCTTTGCAGGAATTCACTAAAGAAAATGATGTGCAGTTGTTGACTCACAGTGATCCTGCCCGTAAGTATACTTGTTATAAAATATCATGTAAACATAATTTCACTATAATTGCACTTTTCATTTTCAGAGATTCTCCCACAAAAAGAGTTAAACGGATTGATAAACGACAATGTAAGCTTATATTGGGTTACAAGATACCAAGTTCATCTGAAGTGTCGCGGTATTTTATCTTCAAAGGGCTACTTAATATACATGAAGAAAATAACAAAATAATAATAATTGTTCTTATTACTAGTATAATAAGGCACTAGGTAACAATCAGTTCTGTGGTACACATTATATTAATATTTACAATTATAAACTGTTATAAATTTTGGTGTTTCGTACTTACCGAATCCATATTATATTTGTAATAATTAATTTCATTCTTGTATCTATAAAGTTTATTTTATATGCACATTTGTGGAAGTAAACTTAATTCGCATAAGTGGGTCAATTTTATTCCTAATTTAATATCCCTTAAGTTTCGGTCGTTAATTGAGAATTATCTTCTCGACACTGTAAAATGATACATTCCGCAAACGTGTCGGAATATGTCGTCTTGGATACACGTATAAATTTTCGCTAGTGGCTAGTGAGCGCTAAAGTAAAGCTGCAAAAGCGGCGTGGAGACATTGAGTAGCGTTGGGCATGTGTAACTCGCGAGGACTCTGTTTTTTTTTTTTTTTTAATATTGTTATGTATTTAATAATGTTACCTCAACAGCAGATAACAAAGTATTGGTTATCTTAGAAAAATAAACTGGTAACTAGTCGTTGACATTTACCGACTGGCGGTCTATTACTTGTCTTTTTACTCTGAGACACTTATGAATCAGTTTTTATGTTAACTGATACTTTGCTAAAATGTTTTTAGATTTAATTACGAATATAAGTATTCGCACGTGAGAGTGTTAATTAAAATAGAAACGTTAGGGAAGTATTTAAAGTTGAATGATTGATGAAACGTGTGTAGGACGTTCAACCACCGGTCGGTAAAGTATTAACTCTTGATCGCAATCTTGAACACTATCACTAGAAAATGAGTTAATCGTGTGTTTGCTCGTTTGTTTAATTTATAAGGGTATGGAATCTGTTTTATATCGATTACTGCACCTATTATTGGGAATCATTCTAAATGGAGATTTAGTTTGCTTTTCTATATGTCCAATTAATGACTCCCTTTTTAATTAACATTCATAGCAGTACATTTGAATTTTGTACACTTCTTCTCACCGATACATACCGATAACATGTCGAGCGCGTTATCTTTGCCTATGTCGTGTATAACAGAATGGTCCAATGTGTTAAGTTCCCCGCGTAGATAAGAAATCTTGTCCGTTTCTGGTTCACAGCCATCGCTAGCGGTAGCCGATCGGGAGTCCGCTAGGCAGCGGGGACACAAGGAATCCTTCGTTTTATGTGTGTGTCCCACCGTCGTTGTCGTCGTCGTCGTCGTCGTCGTCGTCCTCGTCGTCGTCGTCGTCGCCGCCGCGGTCGTCGTCGTCGTCGCAGGCAGCCTCGATATATGCGGGCCGATTTTTCGTTTTGCCACCGGCTGCCTTCGGATCTTTCCCTTTCCTGCGCGTTCTGTTACTCCCGGCTCCCGCTCCTGGGGCCTGGGGCCCTTTTGCGTTAAGCCGCACCGCGTGGCACACACGGGGACAACGAAACGATGGGACGGGACCTCGGGGGACTGCGGATAGCGTAAACGTTCCTCTCCCTCGATTCGCTATCCAGCTACAGGGTGTCCCAGCAATCGTATTGCAAGGGGGTGGACTCGTGGTTCAAAAGCAAATGGAAAATATAGAGCGTTTACCAACTCTGTTAAAATTGCAAAGCTTTTTCAAGCTCAGAAGTCGATGAAGTCGATGATTTGCTATCCCTCAGTCCCAAAGGATTTTTTAGTACAATCTTCAGATATCTTCTTGGACTTATCTTGCCTTAGATTAACATATTTAAGAATGAAATTGTACTTGGAATGCTGAGGGTTAATTCGAATTGCCTATGACGAGGGTTAAAATAGATAAATCGAATATCACAAAATCTTGAAGCCTCTTTTGGAAAAACCCTCTACATTTTTTATTCCTCTTTCGTACGAAAAATCCACCCCTTTCACAATCGTGCTCCGATTGGGACACCCTGTACACACCCTTCTCTCTTGCACTCCGTCTTGTTGGGCCTTCTTCGTCGAACTCTTCCTTGCTCCTCTTCCGCAGCACGCACACCTTTCTGCGTTCATCATTCATTGCACCTCTCTCTCACTCCAGTTCATGGTCCACCGTTCTACTTGAACACATTCGACGGGGCCTCTCTGGCCTCCCTCTTTCTCCTTTTGTCCCTCATCGTTTCTCTTCCGAGAGTCATCCGCCCTCTCTGTTCACCGCTTTTGGGATCAGTCTCTTTTCAATGCTTTCCCGTTCCTCCTTCTGGTCACTGCAAAGCGGGCGGGGTATGCGAACGCCGCGATACTATGTTATGCCTCCGGACCGCGGGTCTGACATACTTTGTATGTTAATGCCACATAATGTCGGTTTTGTTCCTCTTTTCAGCATTTATTTGTTCGGCTCCGAGGAGAGCTTTCGCAGGGGCGCGCACGAACCCATAGTTCGTACCTCGATCGCTCTGCTATTTCGCTTTCTGACTTTTCTATCGGGTTGTAACGTACGCAACGTCCGTCGCGGGTTGGCCACTCCAATTCCCAGCGGGGAAACCCCGAGGGACTCGAGTAATTCGAAGGACGACTTGTAGTAGCGACCGTCGCTTAAAATCGAACACCTAGTGGTTCGATTTGTTTTTTGGTAAGGAATGTGATAGTGGATCACGCGGATTTGGGCAGTTTCGGAGAAGTTGCTCTTAAGTCTAGCTTTGATAGCGAAGCGGAGAGTCTTGAACTTATCCGAATCCGCGTGGAACGACCCTAATCGAAGAAAGACAATCAAATTGCTTCTCGATACCGACTCGAAGATTAATTCGTCTCGATCAATTTTCGGTATTAGTGATACGCGGATATCGGATACTCGAGTCGCTGTTTGCGTCACCGAGGCTTTCCCGCTGCCAAAAATCTTCGCACGTGGAACGTCGAGATATTTGTTATATCGTTTTCTTCTCGAGTGGAAACGCCTAATCTCGGCCGAGCTGTTTTCCACGAGGCAAGAAATCGGCGTGGATCGTGCCACGTCTAATGCAACATTTCCTCGTTGCATAATTACATGTAATTTGCGTGCACCGTTACCGAGTTTCGACGAAGCCAGCTGATAACGAATCTCGTCTCGGAGTGATGCAAGTTCCCGAACTTCGCTCGTTGACTAATCATACCTCGCGGTGGTTGAAACGTGAAACGAAATAAAACTTTTGTAGAAATGTTCACGAGTAGGTACCAGATCGTGTTAATTGAATGAATCGGAGTAATTATGGAGGATGAACGTGTTCGGTGCTGAGGTCGATTTAAAGGCAGAACGACTTAATTAACGTTGGAATCGCAAGGAAACAATGATGGTACGACGCGTTAATTGTTTGTACATACAACGGGACTAATTAGATTAGAGTAGAATAAGGATTAACATCGCACCTGGGTACATTCCCTCGAGGTGCAGGGGCCACGCAACTCCTTCGAAGGCCAAGAAGCGAGGGGTTCGCGAAAAGGGTGCTGGCTTTCCGAGAATAAACTCTTGTTGGGTAAATGCGTTCAGTCTTGCGCGTGATACTTAATTTCAGTGTTTGATTAACGCAGGGTGACCCTCGGAATTGGAGTTGTTCCTACTTCGTCAACGATCAAACTTTAGCGTTAATTTCCAAGAATATATGGTCGCGAAGTAATGATCCTTCGTACTATACTTGGATTAATAGAATCCAAGTGGTCGAAACGCGTAGACGGTAAGGAGGCTGGAAAAGGGTCGCGCAGTGGGCATCCGTCGGTATCCTTTTCGCCGCGCCTCTTTCATTTACTCCCCCGTAACACATTCATTAACGTTACGGAGATCGTTAAATGGATCTACGTCACCGTTCCTCCCACGACAAAATCACTTGTCCTTTAAAATACATTCGAAACATCCTCCGAGTGATCTACGACCTGAACCCGAACGCATCGCCGTCGAGGAGGAAGAGAGGCCTTCCGGATAACGAGACAGAAGTACACCTGCCGCGTTCGTAGAGGAAGGCAGGACACCGCTTGGAAAGTTTTCAATGCGAGGACGGTCGTACACACCGCAAAAGTAGTGGATCCAGGGAACGTTGGTCGGCGAAGGGACTCAACCGGTGGACCCAGAAGAGAGGAAGGCCCTGCTTCTGCTTCTGGCCGTTGCTACTGCTTCTGGGCTCCTTCTACTTTTGCCTGTCCTCTCGCTCCACCGGCACCGCTTATTTATTCCTCTCTCTGTCGCTGGTCTCCCTTTCTTCTTCGAGTTCTTCTTTATTTCTGTCCTTTTGCCCGTTTTCTGCTTCCGCAAACGACAGCCGCTTATTTATACCCCGTCTTTGCATCGCGCGGGAGCGAGCGAGGGCGCTTTTGCGTTTACTCGCTACTGCCGTTCCCTTAGCCGCTTCTGTGTTCGCTCCCGCCGTATACTCTTTGCTACCGCCGATCCTCTTCCTCGCTCCCTCGTGTCGGGGCCCCTCTATTCCAGGGGTACGCGCGCTAGCGAAACATCAACGGCGAGGCACTTTGCTCACGAACACCGTGAGATGCTCTCGATGCGAGAGGCAATTCCGCGACTGCATCACCTGTCAACGCGGGATCGCGTTCCAGCAGGTCTATATTACATGCGGCATGCGGCTAGCGGGTACTCCCCCGGTAATCGCTACCAAACTCGGAACCACTGCTAATTCGTCCACTCGAGAAATTTATGACGGTTGCCCCTTCAACCTCATACTTGATGCACGTCCTCTTCTACGCCGACACCAGTGTCTTTCTTTATTCTTTTCAATTTTATTTAGATCGACAAAGAGGAGTCTTCGTCTTCGATTGCCAAGAAACTTATGACAAAGTGTCCGGATCCAAATCCACCTAGAGTTATCATTGTTTCATTTAGATACTCAGTGCATGTGATCTACAGATCGAGTGTCGCAAAAGGTAATAAAATAAAAACGTTCCGTATTATATCTTTTGAATCTTAAGTATTAAATAAGCATGCTTTGATATCATTTTGCCAAGTGTCCAAAATACATGTCTTCTTTTTAAGCTCAAGTGTTTCATCTTAATTAAACCCCCCCTAAAATCGTCAGGTACCGCAGTCTATGCAATGTCTCGACAATGTAAAGGAGTAAATATAAATCGTATCGCGATATCTCGATGAAATGAGCCAATAATTACGTGGCGTTCGTGGTTATTTCGCTGCTCGTTAGGGGGGAAAGAAGTACCCCCGTGCCTCTTCCGGTGTTCGTTTCTAGAAATGCCCGTGCAGGCGCTCGGATTGCCCCGGTATCGCGGCGGGTTATCCACCGGCGGATC